TGGCTGTAAAATTTCTGATGCTTTTGAGCAGGGGACTTTTCAGCCTCCCGTCCAGGTCAACCACGCCTTCTACCCTCCTGGGACGTTATATTGGTGTCTGGGAGGATAAGAAAGCTGAATTGTACATCGGCTGGCCCCGCAAATCATTGTCTATGCCACACCGCATTCAGTAAGTCACTACGATTTTGAATGGAAGTAGAATACGGCCGCATTCAAAAAGGTTCATCACGGCGAAGACTTCACCTCTACTTTTCAGTGCCGAACTTTTCAGCTGAGTTCGAGCCTTTTCGGTATGTTGTGTAACTTATATTCACATCCATTTGCTCATTATAGTCATAATTAGATGCTTCGCCTGGTAGAACCTTAACATTGCCTATGGCACCGAGTAATATGCGTCACCTCTGTCTTCACACCTCCATCATCGACCATGTAGGCTAAGGCCTTAGGGCGCTCTATACCGTCGAGGGCACCTAATTAAGACCTACACCACAAAAGGTCATAACCCACTGGCAGTTAACCTATTTGTATGTCATCCACTTCTTTACTTTTTACCCCAACCGTTGACTGCTCCTCAGTTTTCTTTTTGTCTTCTACATCCATTTTTTACATTCATCATTTTACAAGCATTTTTTGTAGCAGGCTTTTTCAGAAAACGTTATGACAATGACGTGTCTTTCTATAGCGAAAGCATTATGGCTACGTGCCACTGGACAGTCTGTGAGTTTTATCATAGGGCTAGACTTTACACTCAGCACATTTGTACAGTATATTTGAGCCACAAAAGCTCCTATTAATAAATCTATCAATTACCCAACCCTCATTTTAGGAGTGGTGCCGGTGCATAGTATGCCGAGACAAATTCTTGAACAAACCGGTAAGAATTAGCCCATCTATATTCCTTTGAAGCAATCTGTATTTATGAAAGAATAGTTCTGAGCAATAGTGTTCTGGATAACGTCTATTCTTTCTCATGATTCCTAAATTGAGGACCCTCTCAACTTCTCAGAAGACGCCCGAAAGTTCCAAAAACGCCTACGTCGGTGGCCAAAAGTGAGTTGGTAGAGTGCTAGCAGATCTGACTACCGAACTGCTTCTCTATCCTAAATTACTAATAATTCTAGACATATAAAAGAAGAAAAAGTCGCGAACACAAGAACGAGAATGACAAGGATGATCTACATGGAATAGCCAACAAACTGACGTACGAAGAACCCATTCCGAAAACTCAAAATAAAGATAATGTAAGTCTCAAGGAATCAATTCATCTTATTTTGACATTTCTAGAACATTTTTCAGGATGAAGTCAGATCTCATCCCGCACCATCTTCCAGCAGCATACCTGAGACGCCTCGAAGAAGGTGAGTCTAGCAGTCGCGTACCTAAGCTGTCATTGTTCAAAGAGGTATGTGTTTAGAGATGTTGACGTCAGTGAACCCGGACCCTTAGTTACTAAGGTAAGCTCTCAAGGTTTTACTCATATGATTCTTTTCGAACGCGCAACTTTCAGATGGAAAAGTCAGTTCGTTTTGCGGAGCCGCTGCACGAAGAGGATTGTGGAGAGAGGTAAGTCATTAACTTTGACAGTCACTAGAAAGTATAGATACCGAAGCGCATCATCAAGAACCGGGTTCGGTTAATTGAAAGCAGCTTCCAGGAGGCGCCCAGATACCTAGCTCATGAAGAATGTTCCATGTTGAAGTGAAAAAAAAACGTCTAAAGGAAAAGACTGAGTGGATAAATGTTTTAGGTGTGCTACAAGTACATCAACTCCGGAAGAGGAACAGGAGTTGGCCTCAGAAGGGGACAGTATCGATAGATATGTCGACTACTTTGATGACACAGTTAGCCGGGTGAGTTGAAAATAGGTATGCGTGGTTCAAAAAGTTGAAGTGCATTGTTAACAACTGAAACTGTCAGCGCGTTTCTTAAATCTGATCACTAGTAAATACAGCGAATATGATTTTTTTTTCTGCGGCCTAAAATTTTCAATATGCAGCGGTTTCCTGAGCGCAGAATTTTGAGCGTCTGCCGACTTTTTGAGCGTTTTGAGGGCCCGCCAGCATTATCAGCGACTAGGAAAGTATAGATATTGATTTTGCGTTTTGAGCATCGGTGTTGATCGATATTTATAGTCTAGATCGCTGCGAACGAAGGGGCGTGTCAGCGGAATGAGTTTTTCGCGTGCCAAACTCGCGCTCAAAACAGGTTGTCGAAGCGAGTGACGTGATTGTTATCAATGTTCGTTCGTACGCATTCGTTTTCTAAACCAATAGTTTTTTGGTGGCAAATTCACAGCTTCAGTGAACTTAGTAGAGAACGGGTTTTTGGGCGCCGCGGCTTAATCACACTCTCTGACACACTCCCGTCCATCTGCTCCGGCAAGCATTCATAGGCGGTCATAAACGCCTGGAGGCACGTCAAATAAACACTGTGGCCGCAAACGCTACTACTTTCCTAGTGGTTAGAACCGCTGACGGACGCTCAAAAGGCAGAGGCAACGTATAAACGCTCCCTAATAGTTAGTGTTATTAAAAGGTACCATTTGTGAAGAACAGTCTAAACTTGTCGATATATATATATATATATATATATATATATATATATATATATATATATATATATATATATATATATATATATATATATATATATATATATATATATACAGGGGGGGGGCCAAAAAAAAAAGTCATTTTGCCTCCATGACTTTCAAGGCGCTATAAGTTACACTTTATTAAATTTTTATCGGACATTTTTACTACCATATTAAAGAGCACATTAAATACTATAATGATACTCCGCCACAGCCTTCTGGAGGAGCGCCATCGAGAGATTCGGCCGCGCGAAAGTGAGTGGGTACCGGAGTTGAGCGAGATCGTTGATTTCTCCGCCACCGTAGACCACCCTCTTGAACTCCGCCCGACTAGGTAACTGAGTGGATTCAGGTCAGGGGACATACTTCAATATTACATCTTCTTCAGGTACGAAACGCCCTTCCATTCGAAGTAGGCGGGAGTTTTTCCAAAACCCTTTGATTCCATGTGGTGGCACCCAAACCTGTAGCAGCACAAGGTCTCCAAGAAGGTACGGGCGACCACATGTAGGGAGGATATTCTTCTCGAGTTACTTGATGTAACCGCCAGCGCTCACCTTCAGTCGGGGTCTACAAAGAAAATATCGGTCTTCCCTTTCCAGGTACCCCGGTCCATACCATCAACTCGCGCCTCGGCGAATACGGTGAAGATGATGTCCTAGACCGTAGCGACGTTGCCGTAGCTGGTCGATGTGGGAGGTCTTGCAGATCAAGAGTACTGACCTCCAGGTAGCTATCTGTGGATGACTTCATTCAAGAAGTTTCGCAGCTGTTTGGAGGCGACGTGAATTCCAAAGGTGTTCTCCAGTCAGGCCGCGACTGGAGATGACTTCATATTTTGGCGTACATGAAGGCGATTGGCGGCAGCGTGCTCCAACAGCTTATAGAGGAAGATCTTGGGTATCTTCCACTCTGGTACTCATATCCACTTCCCCTGTCTGGGCTGCGAAAACTTCGTTGATATGTGGCTCGGCCGAAATGACTTTTTTTTGGGCCCCCCTGTATATATATATATATATATATATATATATATATATATATTATATATATATATATATATATATATATATATATATTTCACTTGGAATTCACCACTTTCAAACCGGCAAATCTCACCGGCAACCATGAATCAATGCCAGGCACCACTCGCGAGCCCCCCCGTGGGACAGCTTACGCTCTAACTTGTCAGCTGGCGGTCACGAAGATTTTCAGCACATCGACACATGCGGACACCATTCTTCAAAAAGGTTTGTTGCGGACTTTGAAATTTCACCCCTCTTTCACGCAGCTTTTTGATTTACGTCCATTCTTCTATCTTTGCACAAAACAAAGATCACTCGGTACCCGGGCATTTATGCACTGGCAATTCAGGCTCCGCCCCCTTGGCCACGTCCACTTGCTTTTTGCGGATTTGATATTTTTCAAAATTTTTGCATTTTTGGATCTGCTACATGGAGTCGCACTAATTGAGAAAGCCGCCAACCCATTTCGGAGAAGCCCCCACTCACTTTTCAAAAATGGCTCAAGTCAGCAGTATAGTCTTGGCTTACATGCTAGGTTCTCGCCCTAGCCGTCACTCGGAACAAATAAATCAGGCGAAGTTTGTTCCGAATGACCAGCAATACCCTAGCCATGTAAGCCGGGACCCTATACTTTCTCCGATTTGCATCAACATTTTTGAAAGTGGGTGGGGCTCTTTGAAGTGGAAGGAACTTCCAACAGTGGGTGGGGCTTCGTGTAAGCTAGTCCAAAATGCAAAAATTTTGAAAAAATATCAAAATTCCGCAAAAAGCAAGTGGGCGTGGCCAAGGGGCGGAGCCTGAATTGCCAGTGCATAAATGCGCGGGTACGAGTATCTTCGTTGTGCAAAGAGTGGATGTGAAATCAAAAAGTTGAAAGTTATGAAATTTCAAAGTTCCTTTGAAGAATGAGCGGGAAGTCGGCCATGTGTGCGATATGTTGAATAATCAATTGTCGCGCGCTGAACAAGTAGGCGTGCGTCGGGAAGGGCTACGCATGAATGTCTGAGCATGATCTGTTCGCGGTGAATAGCCCGGTCCAAAAAGAGTGGAGAATTTGATTTGAAAAGTGGTGAATTCAAAGTTAAAACGTTATGTATAATAACCTATTAGTGAAGTTCCTGTGGAACTCGTATTTTACGGATAATGACTGGTGGAGCTTTCGGCTCCGTTCATACGGACTGCGGGGATACTAAGACAAGTCAGCCGTTTCTGGAACATAGCAGTAGTCTATCTGAAGCACAGGGACAGCGACTTTTTGCAAGCGTTTTGAGCGCCCCCAGCATTATCAGCGACTAGAATATAGATATGACTGCGTTCTCGAGCTCGTGTTGATTCGATATTTATAGTTAGAAATCGCTGCGAACGAAGGAGCGTCGTCAGGGAATGAGTTTTTCGCGTGCCAACCGCTGACGGACGCTCAAAAGGCAGAGGCAAAGAATAAACGCTCCCTAATAGTTAGTGTTATTAAAAGGTACCATTTTAGTTCACCACTTTTCAAATCAGATTCCATCAATTCCCACGACCGCGGCTATCATCAACCAAGACAGCAGGCACCACTGCGAGCCCCGTCCGGACAGCTACGCCTACTTGTCAGCGCGGACACAGATTTTTCAACACACCGACACATGGCCGACTCCGCCCATTCTTCAAAGTTGTAGCAAAGTTTGAAATCACCTCTTCCACTTTTTGATTTCACGCTCACTCTTTGCACAACGAAGATACCCCTACCCGCGCATTTATGCACCGACAATTCAGGCTCCGCCCTTGGCCACGTCCACTTGCTTTTTGCGGAATTTTGATATTTTCAAAATTTTTGCATTTTTGGATCTGTATGGAGTGGAGTCCTGCCCACTATGAGAAGCCCCCACCCACTTCGAAGAAGCCCGCCCGTTTTCAAAAATGGCTCGAATCAGGAGTATAGAGTCTTGGCTTACATGCTAGGGTCTCGCCCTAGCCGTCACTCGGAACAAATAAAATCAGGCGCGAAGTTGTTCGAATGACCAGCAATTACCCTACCATTAAGCCGGACCCTATACTCCGCATATGCTCATCATTTTGAAAACCGGGCATTCTTCGAAGTGGCAGGAACTTCCAAACATCACGGCGTAGTCATGTAGCCAGAGCAAAATGCAAAAAAATTTGAAAATGCCAAAACCTCCCAAAAAGCAAATATGATTGCCAAGATGCGCGGAGCCTGAATTGTCAGTGCATAAATGCGCGGGTACGAGTATCTTCGTTAAGCAAAGAGTGGATGTGAAATCAAAAAGTTGAAGAATTATGAAATTTCAAAGTTCGCAACAAACCCTTTAAAGAATGGGCGGAGTCGGCCATGTGTCCATTGTTGAATCAATGTCCGCGCTGGCAAGTAGGTGTGGCCGTCGTCGCCTATGTTTCTCTATACTGCTGTGAATGCTGCGTCCAAAAAGAGTGGTGAATTTGATTTGAAAAGTGGTGAATTTGGCTTGAAAAGTGGTGAATTTAAAGTGAAAATGTTATATATAACCTATTAGTAAAATTTACTAACCAAGAGCAATTTACAACTTCCATCAATGCTTTATAATCACATTTCCTCGCCTGCGTTAATCCAGTTCGTGTGGTAAACTCGTTTCGATATGATGGTGGGGCGTTAGTGCCTACGAATCATACGCTGCGGCGAGGGAGGCCCGAAAAAATCACGAATCAGACTCGGGTGACATCAGCGGTCTCTCTGAAGACAGGGACGGAAAAACTAGTGGTCTTTTATAGCGGTTTTTCTACCCATGTCGATTCCTTTTTTGAATGGGAGCATGTGCGTCAAAAAATGGATGGGAAGAGAAAGACTACCGTCGTCAGCAACTCGTCCTGTGGGGAGAACGCGCCTTCTCTTAAAACATCGAAACCATGATTCGCCTGTTCTCAACTATCCCTTATGTCCCTTTGACGTGCATTCTCCTGAATTGTCGAGTGGACGATTCTCTTATCTCCCTTCGCGAGGTAGGAACACAGCTTTATAGACTGTGAGCCACAGGTGTTTATACACAGGCTTTTTATTGAGAACACATTTCACTTATGAATTTATGTAAGTTCATAGAACAATCTTTTACCTAACAATCAACTCTGCCTCTCCTACCTTGGTTATCCGCATGCTTCCCCAATAAAATATCATATTTTCAGGAAAAACGTGGCCAACGACGAAAGGAAGGGGCACTACGCATACTTAGTAGCCTAAATTCGGTATGATCAAGATCCCAATTGTTCATTAAACAAGTAACATCTTTGAAATTCAGATTCTGGAAGATGCTGCCTCTACAGCTTCAGGATCATTTGAACTGGAAGGTAACCCAATTGATGATTTGTGGAAGTACGATGAGGTAACTAGGAATAGGTATGAAGAAAAGTTGTTGGAAAAAATGGTGCGTATTTCAGTTAGATCTCTACGAAGTGCGCCCACCTAGGAAATTTCCACAACGGGCAACTGCTCTCTATCACGACGACGAAAGCATGAATAGTTATGGCACCATTAGCAGTCGTGAACTAATGGAAGAGTTCCAGAAAGCAAAGGAGGTAACCTCTGATTAGTTGCAATTAAGGAGGTACATTTCCCTATACTCTCGAACAGCCGCTTTACAGGACAACCTTGTCGCCTCCCTGTCGGGTCTTGACGACAATCGACCTGCATGTATAAATGACAGCTACCTTTACACTGATCTAGTCTATGTCTCATCGCCTCATAAAATATAAAAGTACTACTCCTGTTACCAATTTTACTACCTAATTTTACTAGTTCTATTTTTTCCCTTGAGCATGAGCCTTGCATTCAGTACTATTATACATGACTACAATGACTTGCAGCTTTTTGAACACATATTCACTTGAAGGTAACTTTTCCGAAGATGACTGAATTCTCCTAGCTACAATTAACGCCGTGGATTGAATTTTCCATTTATTTTCAAGTTTTGTCATGTTAATGTAAGCATGCTGTGTGCTGTGAAGGAAAAGCAGCAGTCACATTAATGCCGTAACTGTTTGTTGTTTTTATTAGGAATCAATAAATTTGTGAGATAATTCAAATAGTTTCCTGAGAGTGAGTGAGATAGTGTAAAGATGACTCACAAGTATGCACCGTGAAATCGGCGTCTAGTACAGCCAAGCGCGAACCGTCGAAGAATACGGCGTGAATCCCACCCACATGGGGAACTGCCCTCTCGCAAAGAGGTGGAGGTATGGGAAATTTGTTGAAGTTGGTGAAACGGAGTTCATCTGAAAACAGTAGTGATAGCAACACGATAAATGTTGTCTTGCCGCAGTTCGCAGAGTTATCTAAAGAAGGTTGGATCATGGACAGAAACGATCTGACCAATCAGATCGCCTTTTCAGCCTCTAGTCAAGAAAGGAGGATTGAGTCCAATTGCCGGACCTCGTTATACCACAAGGTTTTGCCCCTAAGGATGCGTTTTTTTTGTTCGCGAATCGCTAGAGCAATTCGGTCTTGATCTGAGAATTGGTTGGTTGCGAGCGACAACGCACCAACCGCTTATCCTTAGATCAATGCACTTACTACCATCCCAATAAGGGGTTGTGGTTTACCTCCAGGGGATGTCCCTTCGTAAACTTGTAGTTGGGGAGATTTCGGGTGACTAATGGGAGCAGCGATTCAAGGGCAGACTCAAAAAGTCTCCTGAGGGATATTCCCTCGAGGTAAAGGATTGCATACGGCCCCAGGGTGGATAAAGTTGCCCTCAACTGCAGCGGCCTAGCGATCAAAGATGGAGCACGGTCACTCGCAATAGCGCAACTATATCACTCGAGAAGTTTGAACGTGTTCTTACTCCCTTTCTCGCACCACCAACCTCCAAAAAACAAGTCCTGTTGACCTGTTGTAAGATCTACCTGAGGAACTTGCTCGAAATTGTTCTGGTTGAGCGAGTAATCACTCACCGGTAGCAATGACCAATGACTCAGATCCAGCAACTGTTGGCGTGACAGCAAAAATTAGGTGAGAGAAGAAACCATCGTCAAAGAGCACATACATCTGTCGACTCTAGAGTGAATCAGTAAAGTCATCGTTGTTTATTCTGCTTATACTGCTGTGCCTTTCGAGGTTTTTGGGTGGAAATTTTTATTGCACGGTCTAGCGTTTCGACTTGGTCGTCTTCTTCATAGGCCAACTTCCAACGTGGAACCGCGGTCACATGCAGATGGTAGTCAGTAATAAACTACAATCCGCATGTGACCACGGATAAAGGTGGAAGCTTGCCCTCTGAAGAGGACGACCAAGTCGAAACGTTAGACCGCACAATAAAAAATCCCACTTAAAAACCTAAAGGCACAGCAGTGTAAGCAGAATAAACAATGATGCTGTAGGTAGAACAAGAGAGAATTGGTGAGTAATGTCATCAGTTAACCCCGAAAATAAGCTACGAGTTCTAGAGAATTCATTTTACTGAACCAGCAACCCTTCCCAAAAGCAAGTTTTTAAGGCAAAGTAACCAAAACCCTCAGATAAGGGTGAAACTTTTAATGCTCCATGTGCATTGAAAGCCGCACATATTCTTCTTTCGCAAAAAGGAGAAGGGGAGTAAGCATCATATTCCCCAGCTTATAGCTAAAGATGCGGAGCTAAACAAGAAATGTAGAGCTCGATTTCTGCATTCCATTTCAACAACGGTCAAATGAGACGTTGAGCTGAAACTTGGACCAGAGCGAACAATGGGAGACTCAGAACAGACCTTTTCGGAGTGCCATTGCCAAAGAACAATCTTGTGGCGAAACCGTGCCGTCCATTGACGTTTCCAGTCGTAATTCGACACCGACCACAACTCCACTGAACAAATCAGAGCAAAGTAATAATTCAACCAAACTTTTTGTTTCCCGGAACCTCTCCATACACATGACAGTATGATTAGACATAACTGGTGGGGAATTTTCGAATAGATTTTCTCGTTGAAAGAATCTCACAACAGCTCGTGGAAGAGCAAGAGGAATTGATCTTTCCGAAGTAGAGTCCAAAATTCCATTGATAAGTGGTAATGAGTTACGAAGGAAAGATCGGAACCAGCAAAATTATTTAAGTTGCGTATACTTTGTGTCACCGTTCTGAGCGTACGCCCAGCATTCTTCAGCGACTGCCCGCGAGAAGCTCCAACTACCAGCGGAACGCCCAAAACGCTGGATCGATGCCCATACTTTTGTAAGCTCAGAACGCTAACGTATTCCCGAAACGCTCAGAACGTTGACGCAAACTATGAACGCACTCTTGCAGTGCGATTCTTTCGAAGTTGAATGGGAACTGAACGTGAGATGCATACCACGAGGGGCATTCCACACGGAAAGTGAGTAAAACCCACGTTCATCTGCATGCTCCGATCGCAAATGAACACACAAGCACGATGAGTCAACATCCCACTGCATGTCTATCAACTGGTATTGGTCAATTTTAGATGGCATCGATATTTCATGTCGTTTCTCTCCATTTCTTTCGTAGAATACCATCGCACGGCTGCCATCTTAACACTCAACATTTGTTATTGAAAATGAAAAAATGCGTCTCACTAAACCATAGATAGCTCAAGTCGAAATATGACGAAAGTTTCCCGTCAAATTTGCAGTGAATTTGCGGTGTATTGTAGACCGAAAAGCGTGCAGTAACGAAAACCGACACCAAGAGATCATTGGTTCTGCCCACATTTTCGGGACAAGTGAAAACAAATAGGACTGACTCCGAAGACACAAATAATTCTTTTGTCTTGAACGTTGTGAATGGAGAGCCCTGTTGAAGTTTTTTTGTGACAGTAGTCAAAAAGAACTCGGTAGTACAAGCATGCACAATGTCCTTCAGTTCAAATGGACATTTCGATGCACTTGCTCATGAATAGATATCTCGAAAAAAATACTTATATAAAACAAACCTGCAGCCTGCTTCGTTGTGGCAATATAGTTTCCACTAGGCCGCACAGCAATCACCTCTTCCATAGGTTCTGTATTTTTCAGCCGCGCCATCAACTCACCATCGCGATTGAATATCTGCAAAACGAAGTGAAGTGTGGATCAACACAGTCATTAATAAAGCGATTGGGGATGGCGAAAGACATGCTAGTATTATTGAAGACTAAATGATGGAACATCCGACAGTGATCAGTACTGTTCTGTATCTAGACCGGAAACCAGGGCACATCGTCGTTGGGGAATCCCCAATAGGGGGGGGGCGTATTTGGGCTGAGAAAAATTTATTTTGATAGTTGATTTTTCTCGCTTCATGGACGTTGTAAAGGGAGGGGGGGGGTCGTATTTGATCATTTTTGGGAGGGGGGGGGGGTCGTATCATTCACGTTTTGGCGTTGTGGGAGTGACGGTTGACTTTTGGTGATTTTCCTGTTTCACGTACTATATGCCCCCCCCCCGCTCGACGGCTCGATTCGATGAGGAAGGACAGAGGGCTGGGGGGGGGGTCGTACCAACTCCCAAAAAGGGGGGTCGTATAGAGTCGACTAAAATCCCCAACCAATGATGTGCCCTGTCGAAAACAGCGTACGCGTTTATTGGAGTCCAGGCAAAAGCCGAACAAAAGTGAACCATACTCGACAAACAGTCTTTTATACAGGAATGATTTGGTATCGCACAATACTACTATCACTTAGCTTAGAGCACTAATATCTTTCCTCAACAAATACTTTTTAGGACGTGCCACAAATTCGTCTCATATTAAAGGATGAAGTCTTCGCTGTTGATCGGATCCTTTTTTGGGATGCGGCACGCATTCTACTCCCATTCAGAATCGTAAACGCTTGCGGATTGGCGCCAGCTGATCTACAGTCCGATGTTCTTATCTCACACAGATTCCCAGAGGGTTGACTTGGAGGGTTGACCTGGGCGAGATTTGAGCCCCAGAAGCGCACATGGTAAGCGTCTATTAACCACTACGCCACATCCGCCATTCGACTTACACTATTAAAATAAAGTCAGTTGAATGCTATGTGGTCTTTACAATTAATTGCGGGAGTCAGCAGTCGTACAAGCCAGTGATCTTATTCTCTCAAACAATCTAGTTTCATCTGGTAACCTCACGGGCAGGAGGGTTCGGTTGGCCTGAACGGACAAGGCCAATCCTGTATTTGAGCCCAGAACCGTGCGCGATGCTATCTACCATTATGACCTCTGCCCTTTCCTAATTACCGCTTCTTCTTGCATATGTCATTAACGCGTCCATACTTCGCGATCCGGTCGCTCAAATTGCGGGGGATTTGAGCGATAGGATCGCGGAATGAACGCTCTTACGAGTCCTTTCCAAGGAAAGAAACCGTGCGAAATAATTAAATCACAATCTACTTACCGCAACTCGTCTTTCGCCAGACTGCTCCTCGTAGAACGACACAGTCACATACAAACCATCAGCACGCCACCTTATATATGATTTATGTGTATCATTTGGAAGTGCATTACGAGAAACTTCGATGACTTTCTCACGTGCGGCCTGAAAGTGTGGTATAGAATCTTGTACAATATTAAGTAAACAAAAGGTAGCAGCTCTTAGAGCAGAACTATGTCAGTCACAGGAAACTCAGTTTAACTGAAGGACGATGGTCCAAGAAATCCTAAAAAAATGACACCAAACATGGCCGGATTCATACATTTCGAATTTGGTGTTCTGAGAAATCGCGCGAGTCTGGAGAAAGCGCGAACAATGAAGTATACACCGCGATGTGGGGAACTTGCTATTCAAGACCATTCAGTTCTAGTTTCTTCTCTCTCCACATTCGCAAAGTATTAACACGCCTAGGTAACAACAGAAGGTATACGGTGAAGCCCGTCTATACTTTGCGACACTGAGGAATAAGAGAATGCGCGCCAGATGAAAGTTCAAGTATAGAGCAGGCAAACTGGGGAGAGTAGGCGAATCGAAAAAGGCGCGAATCTGGAAAAAACGCGCCAAAGGAGTGCATGGTGATCGATAGACTCCGCTTATAGCGAATCAAGAGAATCGGAGAATTTGATGGTACGATAACTGGAAAATCGGAAAACAGAAGAATACGGGTCAGTTATTCTCCATCACTCCTCTGGCGCGCATTTTCCGGATGCTGCTTCTCCTTTGCTTGGTGGAGTCGATAATTATGGCTGAAAACGTTGCAGTCAGGCGGGACAGTGTCGAGACGGGGGGGGATACGTTTATACATGACTAAAAAGACACCCGAAATGAGAATCCCAAATTCAAACAGCCATGTATCCTCTGATCTTTCCTCGGAACTCAAACTCTCATTGTCTTGAAATAGTGAAGTACACAAATCGATGGCTGTTAAGTCCGCAGTTATAGAACTACACATAAGTTTTGTCAAACTCTATTCTGCTTGTGTTCCATATAGACACTTGGTAGCGGTTACCACTCGCCATTGGACGAAAGGAAAGTGAGAAAGAGATGTGAATAGGTTTCATGAGCTATAACAGAGGTACCTTTCCAGCACTGCCCTGAAACTGCGTCTCAGCAGCTCCCCATCCTATCGTGACCAAAGAGTCCTTACCAGCTTCACTACTCGACATTTGCCTGAAACCGAATTATTTACCTTCCTATACAAATCTTCATACTATCATGTCATCTATCCTATTCTTTGTTGCTCTGCCAGCAACAAAAAAAACAGATCAGATTAGCGAGGCTTTATGGAAGGAACTTTTCGGAGTGGTACTACCATTGATAGCAAGCTTCACGATGGAGCGTGTTCAACGCCACACTACTTGTATGTAAGTAGAAGGTATGGTTGTTGAACAATCATATTACCATGAGGTCATTTAGCCAATACAGTACTCATACGGTCTTGCTAGCCCATTATGTTTCCGGAGCTTCCTTCTATCTACACCAGCAATCTGATAAGTGAAATACTCCCGAAAGAAACTTGATGGGTTTGGCACGAAAATCTCGGCTACCCAACTTTTCTGCTCCCGCGTGATCACTGAGGTGTTCACCCAGCATATAGTACAACCAGAAAAGCTAATGGTCAACGCGCAATATCTTGCATTTCCTCAGCACTTGATACCATTTCCCAATAGAATTTCGGTTTTTTTTCTCTAATAGTGGCCTCACGAGGCTCCGGGATCTTTCACGAACTCTCCATTCAACACGTTTCTCAGCCTCCCCCGAAGCAGGAGTCTGCTATGCTGGCGCTTTCCAACCTATTCTGTGCTGCTCGTTTTCACATCAAGTAGAGGAGAAAAGGAGTAGGGGGTTTGATACGTGCTCTCATGGCCACTTCTCCACCACTCAGTGGGACCAATTTCTCCATAAGAAACTCGCGCGTACCGCAACTCTCATGATGTTATGGATCAATTGTTTGCCAAAGGAATAGCAAGTGGTCTTCATTTTCAGCTCACTTTCTCCAGGACAGCGCAGCATGTAAATGGAGCAACACGGCAAAATGGTATCAACCAAGCGAGTGAGTACAACTGTTTCATAACCACAACGAAGAGGTTTGTGCTAGGTTGCGTTCAGACTCTGTGACACTGGGAAATAGGAGAACGCGCGATACGGGAATCGATAGTCAATTTGCTGGACCAGATTCGATCAATTACCATCCACTCCTTTGGCCCGCATTCTCCTACTCCCCGCTACCACAAGGGCATGAGCACAGCATTCATGGTCCGTTATTGTTGTCCATGAATGCTGCGTTCATACCTTCGTGATACCGGGAGAATATCCCCATACAACCGGCAATCAAATCCGTTTTCTCAAGTTTTGCAACTTGAACGTTCCCAGAATACCTCTACACTAACCACTCTCCACGTATCTCAAAGCATCGGTCGTAGAATACGATTCTATTGCCTTCAACAACTGCCAGAATGGTTTGATCCGGACTCCAACACGCGACTGAGCACTCCTCTCCAAGAAAACAAGCGCTGCATACCTGAATGCATTTTTTTCCACATTAATGCAAAATAACATGCTAGAAAGCAAAAGGCTATTTCTGAATGGAAATACACGCTTAACCCTGATGAAAGGGTTCCCACACGTATCCGGCAGGCTCTTCACCTGTTCTAGTTTTTCAACGGAACACTTTCAATCACACGGCATCACTGATTAGTGCTGATACACTGCATCCGTCGTGAAAGGAGGTGGGCGCAGCTGCCTGCTTACACTTAAGACGTGGCAAAGGCTGAGCTTTTGGCACGATATTGTCGCCTAAGGACCTCCTGATTGTGTGGATAAAGCTTAGATAAGGCTCGGGATGGAAAATATCTCGCGGAAAGACGCATCCTATGGCCATGTTTAACGAATATGTGCGTCAGACCACACTCTCTCGCCCGCGATACGCAGTATACTTTGAGTCGAAGCAAGCGCAGTAGCAGCAGTTGAGGGACCGAGAAATGGTTCCACCATTTTAACCGCACCATAGTCGAAAAGCTTCTCGAAAGAGTTACGAAGGCGTTCAAAACTGTTTCAGAGTCCTGACCAACCGCTTGAGATTCGACATCCATTGTGACTACTTGCCCATTACTGAGTATTATGCAAAGCTCATTTGAGTCCTGAAGAAGATCTACTTTGACGGGGCTGGAGTTGAACTCGTCATTCCATTGGACAACATCTTTCACCTGCAAAATAGAACATGTGGGGATTTTCCGGAACCAGCGACCAAGTGATGAAAAGAACAGCTGACAACCACGAACTTACCATCATCTCAGAGTCCAGCATAATAACATTATCCTGATTAACGAAATAAACAATATTTGAAACATTGTCCTCAACGAATAGCTCACAATCTGAAAAAGGACATTACGACTTCATTAATACGCATCTTCTATGGGCATACTTTTACCACTTCGCTCTTACCGATACGCTATAAAACTCTTACAATCTTCACATCGTTAATCTCCCTAGGTGGAATGACTGCCGAGATTCTAGTAAACGTTCCTTCGCAGATATTAGTTCTTAGTAAAGCTAGATTAGCAAATCACACCTTTCAAGCAATCCGCTGTCGATGTTCCACTGCAAGAAGCCCTCGCCAATATAATATTCTTCATCTGCAAGAGCTCTTATTTCTGGTGACTAATACTGAGTGAACAAAAGGTTTCTACGCCAGTAGCTGAAAGGAATTGAATGCGCAAGCTTTTTTCTCTAGCTCTTCTTGTTACTGGAGCACGCTTAACTCTTTGGAGCGCGCTTTTCTGACTTTTACAAGGCTACGGATGCCAGGTGATTGCAACCCTTCCTTGAAATCCGCTTGCAATTCCCTTCTACTAGATATGAATGCTGCGCGGATTTCAACATGTGAGGACAGCGCTCAACACCGCACTCCATCTTGAACTACCAAAATCAAAGCCCATTAATAAGACAGCACAAAATGTGAAGTCATGCTAAAGCATTTAAACGAAAAAACATAAAGCACTTGTAACATTTGTAAGTTTCTGTACTTGTAGCTAGAACCTCACTACCGCCACCCCCCCCTCCTTCCAGAGACCAAAAACGACCCCCTTCGCTGAAGGTCATCCCCATCGTACGAAGTGCCCTGCGGGTGAAACCTGTCAGTTCTTGATGGGTTTGTCTACTCTGCGTTCAGGGGAGATGGGCAAGAGAATCGTAAATTGCCGCTTCGTCGCGCGCGGCAATGGGCGCGACGTTTCCTTAATTTGCACTACCCTTTCGACTGGAGCATCGGATTTCATGTAGACAAGGACATGGTAGACACTTATGTCTATTTTTGGTCATACATTGTCTATTCTCGACCAATACCACCTAAAATCGTCGTCATTAGCGACGCCCACTGGCGCGGCGAATTACGATTCTCTTGCCACATACCCCGCGTTCAGAGTTCCGAGTGGATGGCACTGCGTGAGCACGGCCCAATTTGAATTCTGCCGTTGCGGCGGCGCCCCTCTTGG